TACTGTCATGTAGTTTTAATGAGAATTCTCATTTGTGAAGTGAGATGCGAGCGTGTCTATCGGAGGTGACACAGGGGCGTGACACAGGGCGTGACACAGGGCGTCACACAGGGCGTGACACAGGAGTGACACAGGGCGTGACACAGGGCGTGACACAGGCGTGACACAGGGCGTGACACAGGCGTAACACAGGCGTGACACAGGTGTGACACAGGGCGTCACACAGGGCGTGACACAGGAGTGACACAGGGCGTGACACAATGCGTGACACAGGCGTGACACAGGGCGTGACACAGGCGTAACACAGGCGTGACACAGGCGTGACACAGGGCGTGACACATGCGTGACACAGGGCGTAACACAGGCGTGACACAGGGCGTGACACATGCGTGACACAGGCGTAACACAGGCGTGACACAGGTGTGACACAGGGCGTGACACAGGGCGTGACACAGGCGTGACACAGGGCGTGACACAGGCGTAACACAGGCGTGACACAGGTGTGACACAGGGCGTGACACAGGGCGTGACACAGGCGTGACACAGCCGTGACACAGGGCGTGACACATGCGTGACACATGCGTGACAGATGCGGGATATGTGCGTATTCATGCTTATAAAGCCTGAGCCAGGATCTTTACGTTCCAATCACCTCTTTATCATGCTTAGACCGTGATATATCATGGTTATCTTGTGCCTAACCCGTGATCTATCATGGTTATCTTGTGCCTAACCCGTGATCTATCATGGTTATCTTGTGCCTAGACCGTGATCTATCATGGTTATCTTGTACCTAGACCGTGATCTATCATGGTTATCTTGTGCCTAACCCGTGATCTATCATGGTTATCTTGTGCCTAACCCGTGATCTATCATGGTTATCTTGTGCCTAACCCGTGATCTATCATGGTTATCTTGTGCCTAACCCGTGATCTATCATGGTTATCTTGTGCCTAACCCGTGATCTATCATGGTTATCTTGTGCCTAACCCGTGATTTATCATGGTTATCTTGTGCCTAACCCGTGATCTATCATGGTTATCTTGTGCCTAGCCCGTGATCTATCATGGTTATCTTGTACCTAGCGCACGTATGGCCAAAGCCTCGACCTCACACACATGGAGACCAGGGTTCGAGCCTCCCAGTGCCCCCCAGGTGTATAAAATACTTAATACAAGATCTACATTACAGTAAGAGGAGACTCAGCCATCTCTGACCGGTTCCCCTTCAGACCCATTCAGAGGTGGGCCTGAAATCTGGACACTTTACAGCTGAACAGATTTCAGGCCCATGAAATTTAAACACCTGTGACACCTGAAATCTAAACACCTGTGACACCTGAAATCTAAACACCTGTGAAGACGTCAATCACAATTAAGTTTGTTTTTCTGTTTAGATAATAATCTAAAACAGATCGAAGACTTGTTTACTTCGCTATTGATACAACACACCTTAAACACTGCCTCTTGGTAGATGTAAACTCTACCTCTTGGTAGACTTAACTCTACCTCTTGGTAGACTTAATTCTACCTCTTGGTAGACTTAACTCTACCTCTTGGTAGACGATAGATAATCAAACTATTCAACATCGTACCTACCTTCAGTCGACCAGTGCGTCTATCTGAAACAGAAAACGGAATTAGTGCTCTAGGGCGTATAAAAGCCGCATTGACATTAATATAATTCCATCTTTGCAATTAAAGAAAAAAAATATGATCAATCGCTGAAGTTCTATAGACTGGGCTATGAGTAGCCGTGATAAGGAAAGTTTCCAGATGCAGCATCCTCCTGCCAAGTTATATTTTTGTTATATAACAGGGATATATTTCCTAAAACGTATTCTTGGAAGTGTGATTAAATATACTTCCTCTAAATCCTTGCTCCTTGGTTCCTCCCTTTTCCTCTTTGACCCATAGCATTCTCCCTCTCTCCTCTCCCTTGTCCTATAGCATCTTCCCTCTCTCCTCTCCCTTGTCCTATAGCATCTTCCCTCTCTCCTCTCCCTTGTCCTATAGCATCTTCCCTCTCTCCTCTCCCTTGTCCTATAGCATCTTCCCTCTCTCCTCTCCCTTGTCCTATAGCATCTTCCCTCTCTCCTCTCCCTTGTCCTATAGCATCTTCCCTCTCTCCTCTCCCTTGTCCTATAGCATCTTCCCTCTCTCCTCTCCCTTGTCCTATAGCATCTTCCCTCTCTCCTCTCCCTTGTCCTATAGCATCTTCCCTCTCTCCTCTCCCTTGTCCTATAGCATCTTCCCTCTCTCCTCTCCCTTGTCCTATAGCATCTTCCCTCTCTCCTCTCCCTTGTCCTATAGCATCTTCCCTCTCTCCTCTCCCTTGTCCTATAGCATCTTCCCTCTCTCCTCTCCCTTGTCCTATAGCATCTTCCCTCTCTCCTCTCCCTTGTCCTATAGCATCTTCCCTCTCTCCTCTCCCTTGTCCTATAGCATCTTCCCTCTCTCCTCTCCCTTGTCCTATAGCATCTTCCCTCTCTCCTCTCCCTTGTCCTATAGCATCTTCCCTCTCTCCTCTCCCTTGTCCTATAGCATCTTCCCTCTCTCCTCTCCCTTGTCCTATAGCATCTTCCCTCTCTCCTCTCCCTTGTCCTATAGCATCTTCCCTCTCTCCTCTCCCTAATCCTATAGCATCTTCCCTCTCTCCTCTCCCTAATCCTATAGCATCTTCCCTCTCTCCTCTCCCTTGTCCTATAGCATCTTCCCTCTCTCCTCTCCCTTGTCCTATAGCATCTTCCCTCTCTCCTCTCCCTTGTCCTATAGCATCTTCCCTCTCTCCTCTCCCTAATCCTATAGCATCTTCCCTCTCTCCTCTCCCTTGTCCTATAGCATCTTCCCTCTCTCCTCTCCCTTGTCCTATAGCATCTTCCCTCTCTCCTCTCCCTTGTCCTATAGCATCTTCCCTCTCTCCTCTCCCTAATCCTATAGCATCTTCCCTCTCTCCTCTCCCTAATCCTATAGCATCTTCCCTCTCTCCTCTCCCTTGTCCTATAGCATCTTCCCTCTCTCCTTATCCTAGCCCCTTCCATCCCTTTCCCTTTAAATACACTCAGTCTCACCCTATCCTCACGAAACACATCTCTTAAGATTAAAATGGATAAAAATAAAACTATAAATGTAATTACGTGCGTAAATCCCATTACCTTCAGAGGACTGGAGCTCCTAATGTAATTACAAGTTATATATTCATGTCGTGATTTCAGAGATACTTGTTTCTATAAATTCCATCTTCATATCTGGGGAATTATTTTTTTTTGGTGATTTATGAGATCGTCTTTAGTGTTAATTTGGAAACATGTGCTGAATATATGACGTTTGGAGTGTTCGGACAACGCAAACATCTGCATCCGGATTCACGAAGCAGTCACGTAAGTACTTACGAACGTGTACATCTTTCCTCAATCTTTGACGGCTTTGGTTACATTTATTAAACAATTTACAAGCATGAAAACTTCCCAATCAACTGTTGTTATTGTTATAAACAGCTTCCTGGTGCTTCGGAGCTCATTAACTGCTTAATAATTGTAAACAAAGCCGTCAAAAATTTTGAAAAGATATACAGGTTCGTAAGTGCTTGTGTAACTGCTTCGTGAATCTGGCCCCAGTTTCCCTCAAGTCTGTTTCCTTGACATGACAAGGAAATGTGCTCCAATGACCCTTGAGATCTTGAGGTTATCTTGAGATGATTTCGGGGGCTTAGTGTCCCCGCGGCCCGGTCCTCGACCAGACCCCCACCCCCAGGAAGCAGCCTGTGACAGCTGACTAACACCCAGGTACCTATTTTACTGCTAGGTAACAGGGGCATAGGGTGAAAGAAACTCTGCCCATTGTTTCTCGCCGGCGCCTGGGATCGAACCCAGGACCACAGGATCACAAGTCCCGCGTGCTGTCCGCTCGGCCGACTGGCTCCTCAGAGACTATCCTAGAATCTTTTGTTTTCCTTCACGTATTTCCTTCTGTCGTTTAGACAGAAGAGGACAGGTAGTTAAAGGAGACATTCGACTTGAGAATGGTCCAGGACGGACGGTAAAGTCGTCGTCCCTTCACTTTCTAGTGTGGTTTGGTCAACCGGTAGTTAAAGTATTAGATTGCATTAAATGATGCTTTCATATAGGGCACAGTTTTCTAATGTTCTGTATAGTGACCTAATTGCTTTCGTCTTTATCTAAACAACAACAACAACACACACACTCACACACACACACACACACACAAACACACACACACTGTCTGGACCGGGGTTCGATTTCCGGACCAAGCAGAAACAAATGGGCAAAATTTCTTCCACCCTAATGCCCCCTGTTACCTAGCAGTAAATAGGTACCTGGGAGTTAGACAGCTGTTACGGAGCTGCTTCCTGTGTGTGTGTGTGGGGAAAAAAAATAGTTAGTAGTTACAGTTGATTGACAGTTAAGAGGCGGGCCGAAAGAGCAAAGTTCAACCCCCGCAAGAACAACTAGGTGAATACACACACACACACACACACACACACACACACACACACACACACACACACACACACACACACACACACACACACACACACACACACACCAAAGAGCCAAAGCTCAACCCCCGCAAGCACAAATAGGTGAGTAGGTGAGTAGGTGAGTACACACACACACACTGTTATCTGAAGCTGTATACCACTATATTAACCTCGCCTCAGTCACCATTATATATACCATTATATACACCATTTCTCAATGAAAGAACCACAGGAAACGGTTGATAAAAATGGAAGACTGTCAGCCACGATAAAGCTGTAGGAAGTTGCCATTCTTTCAGCTCCGACTCATCCATGTAGAAAGATTCTCAAGACCCAGACAACAAAAACTGGACCAAAAATGACTTGAAAAGCTGAAGATTTGGGCAAAAAATTGAAATATGACACATAGGAAGGAAAAATTATTATATATAGTATTAAAAGCAATTCTTAAAAATAATAAATAATAATTTATTGATAGAGAGAAAACACGTCCTGCCTTTATGCAGGATGTGTTTAACCGGCTTTGTAAAGCTGTATCCGGCCTTGTAAATGCTGTATCCGGCCTTGTAAATGCTGTATCCGGCCTTGTAAATGCTGTATCCGGCCTTGTAAATGCTGTATCCAGCCTTGTAAATGCTGTATCCGGCCTTGTAAATGCTGTATCCGGCCTTGTAAATGCTGTATCCGGCCTTGTAAATGCTCTATCCGGCCTTGTAAATGCTCTATCCGGCCTTGTAAATGCTGTATCCGGCCTTGTAAATGCTGTATCCGGCCTTGTAAATGCTGTATCCGGCCTTATAAATGCTGTATCCGGCCTTGTAAATGCTGTATCCGGCCTTGTAAATGCTGTATCCGGCCTTGTAAATGCTGTATCCGGCCCTCGCTTTGCTAGAACGGCCGTGAAAGTGTTCAGAAAATGGAAATAAAACTCAAACATCAGTCTTTCACTGCTGCTTCAGAGGCGTCATTGTCCTTGAACGACTGTTCATGCTTGCTATGCTGCGTCTCTCTGTTGCAGCATCATTTTGAGGCAAGCATGGCACTATGATAGATGACATCACCCCAGCAAGTGTAACCTCCCCCTCTCACCCCACCCCACATCACCAAAATCCAATCCATTCGAATGCCTTGTCGAATCTAGCTTCAGAGTAGAGGTGGCTTCTACAACAATTACATTCGCTACAGACCGCCTGTTGACCACCTGTTGATCACCTGTTGACCACCTGTTGATCACCTGTTGATCACCTGTTGACCACCTGTTGATCACCTGTTGACCACCTGTTGACCACCTGTTGACTACCTGTTGACCACCTGTTGACCACCTGTTGACCACCTGTTGATCACCTGTTGACCACCTGTTGATCACCTGTTGATCACCTGTTGATCACCTGTTGATCACCTGTTGACCACCTGTTGACCACCTGTTGATCACCTGTTGACCACCTGTTGACCACCTGTTGACTACCTGTTGATCACCTGTTGACCACCTGTTGATCACCTGTTGACCACCTGTTGATCACCTGTTGACCACCTGTTGATCACCTGTTGACCACCTGTTGATCACCTGTTGATCACCTGTTGACCACCTGTTGATCACCTGTTGATCACCTGTTGATCACCTGTTGACCACCTGTTGACCACCTGTTGACCACCTGTTGACTACCTGAACAGGTGACACGAGTATTCCCTTACATTTCTTCGAATCATCTGCATTTCTAGCTTCCATTTGCGTTCCCTTGTTCAAGCTTTCAAGAGAACTTTTCAAGAGAATTGACATTTCTCCTTTACCACCTTGTCTACTCTTTAGTATCTTGCATGTTGTGATCATGTCCCCGGTTTTTCTATTTTCTTCGGTTGAAATTTAATTCCTTTATCCTTTTATCATGGGACATGTTTGATAGATCTTCAATTTTCCTCCAAAAATCCTGATCTCAAAAGGCTGTAAGACAGAGTCAAATCGCTGTTCAATAAATTTCCATTTTAGTGTCGGATATTCGTCGTGAATCAAATCTTCCGACAGTTCAAATGGGTTCTGAACACATACTTCATGCTGTATGTCTGCTGAATACTACTAGTTTGTTCTGGAAAACTCAGACTCCCAGTGGAGAGATTCCTTGCAACCCCCACACAGGACGCTCCAGACACATCCTGATGGAGCTTCGTGTACCCCAGGGGGTTCGTGAAGCCAGGGTTCGATATCCCTGTACTATAAAAGCTGCTGAACTCTATCACTCCCAAGATACCACACATTCAGCACCGCTCCTGTGCCAGGTAAGTCCACTACGGGCTCACCATAGCCCGTGCTACTTGCCCCGCTCCTGTGCCAGGTAAGTTACGGGCTCACCATAGCCAGTGCTACTTGCCCCGCTCGTGTGCCAGGTAAGTTACGGGCTCACCATAGCCCGTGCTACTTGGAACTTGTTCCGAGTAGCTGAATCTATAACAACAACATGTCACATGTCAATAAATGGATTGCATAACCTATGATGACCAAATCACATAATGGAGAAGAAACAATCACACGAATTAAATCACCCGACGTGATAACGGTCCAACATGACCCGAAACGTCATGTCTCCTCATCTTCTGATGAGTGGTCTAGCCATTATATCATCAGCCCCGTCACTGTGACTCCTCGTCTGCATAACCAATTAATAAAGTGTTTCTATAACCATAAACAGCAGTTAAAAAAATGATAGAATCATTTCACATTTTTTTTCTGAGTAATAAAAATATTATATACTTAAATTAAATATTTCCTTCATGTTAAAAGAAGTAACAATAAGACAATAAAGATATCACTTGGAGTACGTTTATTTGAAGATAGCAATAGTCAAATGAACTTAACCTCGCACTAACCTGAATGGTCACTACAGACTCGCAGTAACATAAGTGGTCACTAGAGACCACTTATTGGTCAATATATTGGCCAATATTACTTGGTCAATAATATTGGTCAATATATTGGTCAATATATTGGTCAATATTAATTGGTCAATAATATTGGTCAATATTACTTGGTCAATATATTGGTCAATATTACTTGGCCAATATATTGGCCAATATTACTTGGTCAATAATATTGGCCAATATTACTTGGTCAATATATTGGTTAATATATTGGTCAATAATATTGGTCAATATATTGGTCAATATATTGGTCAATATTACTTGGTCAATATATTGGTCAATATATTGGTCAATATTACTTGGACAATAATATTGGTCAATATTACTTGGTCAATATTACTTGGCCAATATATTGGTCAATATTACTTGGTCAATATTACTTGGTCAATAATATTGGCCAATATTACTTGGTCAATAATATTGGCCAATATTACTTGGTCAATAATATTGGCCAATATTACTTGGTCAATAATATTGGCCATATAACAAAGGTTGCGTGACTTTTAAACGTGACTTTTAAAACTAAAAAAAACACAATTTAATAACAGCAATATGAACTAATGTTTACTAATATCTTGCCAATTTATCAATAGCTGGTAAATAGCAAATATAACTATATGTTATTTAAAAATAAATACCATAGATAAATAGCAAATGTAGCAAATGAATAGAAAAGTATCATCTAAAATTGAAGGTACTATAGGAAGTTAAGGAGGCCTGGTCGACGACCGGGCCGCGGGGACGCTAAGCCCCGGAAGCACCTCAAGGTAAGGTACTATCCAAGAAAATAATTAAAACCAAAAATGTAAATGAACTACTGAAAAAAATGACTTTTTTGGATTTTTTTTGGCAAAATAATTGAAAAACAGGAGAAGGAAAATAAAATGCTTTACTTCTAAAGTAGAAAATATAATCAAGGCCAATATTAATTTATCTAAAGTTACAGTAAAGACAATGAAGAGTATATAGATATTAGATAAGAAACACAGAGAGAGAGAGAGAGAGAGAGAGAGAGAGAGAGAGAGAGAGAGAGAGAGAGAGAGAGAGAGAGAGAGAGAGAGAGAGAGAGAGAGAGAGAGAGACAGAGAGAGAGAGATACAGAGAAGTTTGAGGGGGGAGGAAAAATCCTAATCCACAATGACGACACGAGAACCCTGTGTAGGATTTACAGTATAATCCTGAGAGAGTATCGTGGCGGTGTGAGAGAGAGAGAGAGAGAGAGAGAGAGAGAGAGAGAGAGAGAGAGAGAGAGAGAGAGAGAGAGAGAGAGAGAGAGAGAGAGAGAGAGAGAGAGAGAGAGAGGAGGGAAGAGAAAACGTTGCGAATGTGGAAGAGGAGAAAGGGGCGAGAATAGAGAGGTAGAAGAGGTGGAAGGGAAGGTAATTATAAAGGGGAAAAGCACCAAGCCATTACGACTATATAGCACTTGAAAGGGGTCAGGATAAGGATTTGGGATGGGACGGGGGGGAAGGAATGGTGCCCAACCACTTGGACGGTCGGGGATTGAACCCTGACTTGCATGAAGCGAGACCGTCGCTCTACCATCCAGCCCAAGTGCCCCGTACCACAAGAGTAACTACAGAACCATGCCAGGTACCATAAAAGCAATTGCAAGCAGCAATTTCTGCTGCTGCTGCAGAAATCACAGCAGCAGTATCTATCACCATTCCTGTTGCAAAAGCCCCTGAGGAATCAGTGCAGAGCAATTAGCAGCGACAGAATCAGTGCAGAGCAATTAGCAGCGACAGAATCAGTGCAGAGCAATTAGCAGCGACAGAATCAGTGCAGAGCAATTAGCAGCGACCGAATCAGTGCAGAGCAATTAGCAGCAACAGAATCAGTGTAGAGCAATTAGCAGCGACAGAATCAGTGTAGAGCAATTAGCAGCGACAGAATCAGTGTAGAGCAATTAGCAGCGACAGAATCAGTGCAGAGCAATTAGCAGCAACAGAATCAGTGCAGAGCAATTAGCAGCGACAGAAACAGTGTAGAGCAATTAGCAGCGACAGAATCAGTGTAGAGCAATTAGCAGCGACAGAATCAGTGCAGAGCAATTAGCAGCGACAGAATCAGTGCAGAGCAATTAGCAGCAACAGAATCAGTGAAGAGCAATTAGCAGCGACCGAATCAGTGTAGAGCAATTAGCAGCGACCGAATCATTTATTCTACACCAATCTCAGTGATACCACCACAAGACCCAAAACAGACACCACCACATCAATAGCCACAGCACAAATATCCACCCCCAACCCCCCTCAACCCGAAAGCAACCACAACGGCAGTGAATGCAACAATTGCAATTAACCAAGTCCACCAAAAAGTCCTTCATCACGCCACCATAGTAAATCATCAGAATCTTCATTCCCCAAGTCAACAGCTCAACCACCACAACCACCACAACCACCACAACCAGCTCAACCACCACAACCACCACAACCACCACAACCACCACAACCACCACAACCACCACAACCACCACAACCACCACAACCACCACAACCACCACAACCACCACAACCACAACTACAACCATTGTAGACATGAATTTACTTGACCGTGTTCAGAATGATATATTTAGCTTCAGAAATCTGAATTCTACGAAGAGATTAAGAAAGCTAAATATATTTTTTAGTGCAAAAAGCGAAGAGTTAAGAGAGGACAAGAAAAGATGATAAAAAAAAGTCAATTAAAAAGGTTAAACTAAAGATAGATGAAAGAATAAAACAAACGGGATATTTTAGTGTTCAATAAATAGATTATCCAATAAAATTTCTATTCAATAAAGACATGTGAAAACATTGATCTGGGAACAGAATTATAGATTTAAAAAATATTTAATTACTTTGAATCAGTAGAATCAAACGTAGTTTAAGTAGTTTAATACTACTTAGTAAACCACATACCTTTATGTGGTGTACTTTGCTTTCTCTTCGTCAAGGAAGGGGGACGTTCACACTTAGGGACTGCTTGAGGGACAGGTGTTCACACTTAGGGGTGGCTTGAGGGACACGTGTTCACACTTAGGGACTGCTTGAGGGACTGGTGTTCACACTTAGGGACTGCTTGAGGGACAGGTGTTCACATTTAGGGACTGCTTGAGGGACAGATGTTCACACTTAGGGACTGCTTCAGGGACAGGTGTTCACACTTAGGGACTGTTTGAGGGACAGGTGTTCACACTTAGGAACTGCTTGAGGGACAGATGTTCACACTTAGGGACTGATTGAGGAACAGATGTCCACACTTAAGGACTGCTTGAGGGACAAATGTTCACACTTAGGGACTGCTTGAGGGACAGGTGTTCACACTTGGGTACTGCTTCAGGGACAGGTATTCACACTTAGGGATGAGTCAGTGGAACAGATGTTCACAATGAGTTATCTGTTATGTGTTAATCCTCCGATTTTGCTCTAGTTCAAATGCCTCGTTAGCGAAGCATTATTGCCCCTTTAATTAACACTTAACTTCTCACTCCCTTAATATCTCTCAACCTCTCATGCCATTATTGAGACAAAATGAATGTATTGGACCTCACAGTAAAGAAAATTTACGAAGATCAATATAATTTCAGAATTAAATCAAATATACTATTAAAATTATATAAACACTGGTGGAAAAACTATCTATAATGCCATAGTGCTTTAATGAAGGTGAAGAAAACGTCCAAATTGTTTTAAGTTGTTTAAAAATCAATTATTTCGATGTAGAATACGTACTGTACATAGGTACTGTAGGTACTGTACTGTACCTGTTCAAGGTACTGTACATAATGTGTTTATATTATATTCACCTTCTTAAACACCTACGAGTGTTTAAATCCCTAGTCCTACAAGAACTACGTCCCACAAGTAGTCCCACAAGAACTAAGTCCCACCAGGACTAAGTCCCACAAGAACTAAGTCCCACAAGGAGTCCCATAAAGACTAAGTCCCAAAAGAACTAAGTCCCACAAGGACTAGGTCCCACAAGGAGTCCCACAAGGACTAAGTCCAACAAGGACTAAGTCCAACAAGGACTAAGTCCAACAAGGACTAAGAGGAGTCCCAGTATTATTGAAATAGTATACATCAAATCATGCTAATGTAACAAACAGCATTGGCCAGAAATAAATATAACTTCTATTATGAAAATGAAAATTATGAAAATTATGAAAATATAACTTCTGTTATGAAAATGTTATATTGTGAGACACCATTTTTCACCTATATGTAACCTCTTCAAGGTCGTGAAAACTGCATCTTTTGTCACGCTGAAATCTGGTCAAAGTCGAGAAAATAGAATTGCCACTTAAACTTGATATATCTGACATGGCAGATATAAGTTGCTTCCTCACACTGCATCAGGGCAACTTTGTCGAGCCGCCTCGGCCACGATCCACCAACTTACACTTATAAAAACAAAAAAAACAAAAAAAACAGTTAGCTTTGGATTGCTCGTTCTATCTGCATATTCATGGAATAATTAATTTTCAACTCCGGGTAGGCAAGACGTGTGGACGCGACCAACAGAGACGAAAGGTGGAAGTAATAATAATAATAGGAATTTCTGACATATTTTCTGTTTTTCAGAAAATTTTCTGGGGGGTTTCAGGCAGGCATCAGGGATATGGTTGGTTGTTTATGCTAAAATCTGGTAATTTTTGTCCAATTTACGAGGCATTTATTGCAGCGTCTCTCGCTTTTTTTTTTTTTTTTTTTTTTTTTTTTTGAGATATATACAAGAGTTGTTACATGGTTGTACAGCCACTAGTACGCGTAGTGTTTCGGGCAGGTCCCTGGAATACGATCCCCTGCCGCGAAGAATCGTTTTTTCATCCAAGTACACATTTTACTGTTGCGTTAAACAGAGGCTACAGTTAAGGAATTGCGCCCAGTAAATCCTCCCCGGCCAGGATACGAACCCATGACATAGCGCTCGCGGAACGCCAGGCGAGTGTCTTACCACTACACCACGGAGACTGCTGGCTTATATTGCTCTTGCAACAGAGCGGGAATCGAACAAGCTTCGCGCACTATTTCGAAGCGCTGTTTGAACCAGTTCGAACTCTTGGTGTTCGAGGATGAGGTCTAATTGGCTTAAAGCTTAACAATGGCCTCATTACCAATGGCCAAATGCTCTTCAATGCAGTTGCCAAAAACTCGTTTGTATGAATGAAAAAATTGTTATCTTGTTATCTAATGAACGGCATCTGGTTATCTTCCAAGATTTTTAGGACAGTGTTTCGTTCCCTTCCAAGCTTTGTTCGAATCGCAGCTCACAAAATGCTTCACTCACATGTTCCAAATAGCATAATCCCCCCCCCTCTCCCCCTCCCCAAAAAATAAAAATATAATTCCCAAAGGAAAAAACAGCTATCTTGAGATGATTTCGGGGCTTTAGTGTCCCCGCGGCCCGGTCCTCGACCAGTCCTCCACCCCCAGGAAGCAGCCCGTGACAACTGACTAACACCCAGGTACCTATTTTACTGCTAGGTAACAGGGGAATAGGGTGAAAGAAACTCTGCCCATTGTTTCTCGCCGGCGCCTGGGATCGAACCCGGGACCACAGGATCACAAGTCCAGCGTGCTGTCCTCTCGGCCGACCGGCCCCCTCTAGCTAACCTAACCTATCCCTGGCCTAATTTGGCTCAATATTTTAATATTTTATTATAAATTATACAAGAAACAAAGTTTTTTTGTCACACATTACTTAAAAAATTTAAGAATGTCTGTTTTTGACTTAATCGGAGGTTGGACGTCCAATTTTAAAAGTTTTGTCAGATAGTGACTTTATAAAATCAACCCGTTTGTATAACATGTTGAAGTACAACAGTCTGAATGATCACTTGAATTTATGAATGTAGATATTATGTAACCAAGCATTATACGCGCCACTGATGCTTTATTAGTATAAAGTCCAGATTTAATAGTTAATAATAAGAATTTTGTCCTATGCTTGCCTACTTTCCCAAAATAAAACCTCATTACTTTACACATAGTAGGATTGAACTCTAACAGCCACTTGCCAAGTTATTCTTGCATTTCGTTCGAGATTTTTTAATTGTCTGGCTTCAAGTTCTAAATAGTTTTGCGTCGAAATTGAAACATATACAAAGGAACTTAATTCCAGTGGCATCTTAGTCCCACAAGGATTAAGAAGAGTCCCACGAGGACTAAGAAGAGTCCCACGAGGACTAAGAAGAGTCCCACGAGGACTAAGAAGAGTCCCACGAGGACTAAGAAGAGTCCCACAAGGATTAAGAAGAGTCCCACGAGGACTAAGAAGAGTCCCACAAGGACTAAGAAGAGTCCTACAAGGACTAAGAAGAGTCCTACAAGGACTAAGAAGAGTCCCACAAGGACTAAGAAGAGTCCTACAAGGACTAAGAAGAGTCCCACAAGGACTAAGAAGAGTCCTACAAGGACTAAGAAGAGTCCTACAAGGACTAAGAAGAGTCCTACAAGGACTAAGAAGAGTCCTACAAGGACTAAGAAGAGTCCTACAAGGACTAAGAAGAGTCCTACAAGGACTAAGAAGAGTCCTACAAGGACTAAGAAGAGTCCTACAAGGACTAAGAAGAGTCCTACAAGGACTAAGAAGAGTCCTACAAGGACTAAGAAGAGTCCCACAAGGATCAGAAGAGTCCCACAAGGACTAAGAAGAGTCCTACAAGGACTAAGAAGAGTCCCACAAGGATCAGAAGAGTCCCACAAGGACTAAGAAGAGTCCCACAAGGATCAGAAGAGTCCTACAAGGATCAGAAGAGTCCCACAAGGATCAGAAGAGTCCCACAAGGATCAGAAGAGTCCCACAAGGACTAAACCTTTTCGAGTTTAATTCAGTGAAGGTGTGTGTGTGTGTGTGTGTGTGTGTGCGTGTGTGTGTGTGTGTGTGTGTGTGTGTGTGTGTGTGTGTGTGTGTGTGTGTGTGTGTGTGTGTGTGTGTGTGCGTACGAACCAGCGCGCGTGCATATGAGATCATACGTTCCTGTGTATTCCGGCAGTGTTTACCACGCTTGGATAAAGTGCTCCTGCCATCAATTAAACAATAAAGCCCATGAAGGGAAAATTTGAAGATATACTCGACCCTTTCAAGATCTATTTGCCCTTTCTGTGAGTAGAGGAAAAGAGGGAGGAAGAGGGGGGGTTGAGGGGGAGAAAGAGGAGAGACAGGAGAGGGAGTGGATAGAAGAGCTCAATCATGGAAGGGGCTCTGAATAGACAGGCAGTAGACGGATAGATTCCGTCCTCTCATTGTTAGACACAAATGATCAGAATACGCTCGCAGATTGCTAGAAACTGCAAGGGAAGGGACAGGAATCAAATGAAAATATGGTTCTTTAAGTGGCTAATAGAGTTCAACTCTAGCAAGGGCAAAGTAATGAAGACGGCGGAACAGGAGACCGGTCATAAGGTATTACATGGAAGAGAAAATACTCCTGGAATGGAAGATTTACGAAGTAAAATACATGGTTGTTGATATTAACTTAAGAACTATCTTTAGGAAGTTGATGCAGAGTTCAAATGTCGTTCAAACAGACATGGCGCTCAAGCAGACAGCATTCAAGCAGACAGCGCTCAAGCAGAACGCCAAGTTAGGCGTTCGGGAACTTTAATACCGTTTTAAATCAGATCAATTCTGGAATATGAAGCCACAATATTAAGTCCTTTATCTCGTTAAACACAAAAAGGAAGCTGAAGTCCAGCGAGTAGGTATGCCACCAGAACCAGAGCCGAAAGGTACGAGCTACAAGGAAAGACAACGAATTTAACCTTATGTTAATGGAACCAAGGAAACAAACTGTTGTTGTTGTTTAAGATTCGCTACTTGGAACAAAACGTTCCAAGCAGCACAGGCTATGGTGAGCCCCGTAGGGAAACAGACTAAACATGATTATCAAATACAAAATATTATAATAGGCAGGAAGGTGAAGGGCAGACAATTTAGCATGGGTACTCGAACTAAGTACACAAACAACGTTAATCCAAAGATTTAGCAACCTTCCTTGTGAAGAGATTATATAATTAACATTCTCTAGAACGACGAAAAGTAAAGAGGGACAATAAATAAATGCATGAAAGTATATGACAAAGAGATACATAAAATTGTAAATATATAAATCAAATGAAACTCAAAACTAAAAGTTCAAAACTCAAAACTAAACTCAAACTCAAAAACTCAACTCAAAACTCAAACTCAAAAACTCAACTCAAAACTCAAACTCAAAAACTCAACTCAAAACTCAAACTCAAAAACTCAACTCAAAACTCAAACTCAAAAACTCAACTCAAAACTCAAACTCAAAAACTCAACTCAAAACTCAAACTCAAAAACTCAACTCAAAACTCAAACTCAAAAACTCAACTCAAAACTCAAACTCAAAAACTCAACTCAAAACTCAAACTCAAAAACTCAACTCAAAACTCAAACTCAAAAACTCAACTCAAAACTCAAACTCAAAAACTCAACTCAAAACTCAAACTCAAAAATTCAACCCAAAACTCAAACTCAAAAACTCAACTCAAAACTCAAACTCAAAAACTCAACAAAATTTGGAAAAAAAAAGGAACTTGAAAAGATATAAAATGAAGATCATATTTAGAAAAGATCTAGGTAGATACTGATTTATAAACAAGGTTGCAGACTTTGGAAAAAAAAAATATTATCGAGTAAAATAGAAGTGGGATCAATGGATTGTTTCAAACGTAGGTTAGACATATATATGAAAAAGTGGGTGGATATAAATAGGTCAATTTATAGGTCAATAGGTCTTTTGTAGTGTCCTTAATGTTATGAACCCAATGAGCCACAGAAAAGTTTTTTAACAGTCTTGTTAGTTATGTTAGTTTCCTCTCCATGTTAACAAGCACGAAGGGTGGTGATCGAGGCGGACTCCATACACAGTTTGAAGTGCAGAAATTAAAAAGAACAATAGGGGTTTGAATCCTATGCGCTTGGCTATTAATGGTTGATAGACAGGACCCCAAGAGCCGTAGATCATCCCTGACAAATACAGCTAGACGAATACAACTAGGTGAGCACATACACACACACACACACACACACACACACACACACACACACACACACACACACACACACACACACACACACACACACACACACAAACACACACACACACACACACACACACACACACACATACACACACACACACACACACACACACACACACACAATGCATGTAATCATTGGATATTGTTGTCATAAAGGAATGGTAATGAAGAGTTAAACAGACAGACAGACAGACAGACAGACAAACTCACACACACACAGACAATTATTATTATTAAGGTCTTGATGACAGAACAGGCATAGTAGCATAACTAGGGGGGGGAACAGTGAAGTTTATCACTGTTTAACTGTGTCAACTCAGAGACACGGATATATGGTGCTAACATGATCCATAGTTTCAACAGCGAACTAGAGAGAAGGAAGTCAGGAATCATTTGCATTAGACGACCGACAGCTTGAAAAAAGCGTGGACCGGGTGCTAGAGCTCGGTCCTGCATACAGTCAATGAATGTAGGGTGTAGAATGAATGTAGGTGTAACTAATTATGGTTGGATTTATACGTGTTTGTATGTGAGTGTTGGCTGGCTGGCTGGCTGGCTGGCTGGCTGGCTGGCTGGCTGGCTGACTGACTGACTGGCTGGCTGGCTGGCTGGCTGGCTGGCTGGCTGGCTGGCCGGCTGGCTGGCTGTCTTCCCTAGAAGCACCTACACTAACTAATCACTTCCCATCATCATCACTATTCATCATCTTCCCCTCCATCTCCTATTTCCCATTTCCCCACCTTCCCCACAGCAGCCTTCCCTTCCCCCTTATATCACTCACCATGAGTGCCAGTGGTGCTGGTTCCCGCCGGTGCTGGAAAAACTTGCACGAAGGTTTGAGGTTGTCACTAACACTCACAGGTTTTTGAAGCAAATTTCTTCGGCAGGTTTTGAGCGACGTCATTGGAGATGCTGCCTTGGCCGACCGTGGCGCTGCCTTGGCCGACCGTGGCGCTGCCTTGGCCGACCGTGGCGCTGCCTTGGCCGACCGTGGCGCTTCCTTGGCCGACCGTGGCGCTGCCTTGGCCGACCGTGGCGCTGCCTTGGCCGACCGTGGCGCTGCCTTGGCCGACCGTGGCGCTGCCTTGGCCGACCGTGGCGCTGCCTTGGCCGACCGTGGCGCTGCCTTGGCCGACCGTGGCGCTGCCTTGGCCGACCGTGGCGCTGCCTTGGCCGACCGTGGCGCTGCCTTGGCCGACCGTGGCGCTGCCTTGGCCGACCGTGGCGCTGCCTTGGCCGACCGTGGCGCTGCCTTGGCCGACCGTGGCGCTGCCTTGGCCGTCCGTGGCGCTGCCTTGGCCGTCCGTGGCTCTTGCCTATATTTACTTGTTAACTTAGAATTTACTATCCCTTCTACCACTTCTAAATGTATCCGTCTAAATGAATTTCATCATTATCATTTCTCTTTTATTTCCTCTTTCTTCACCCACTTTGTCATTCTCCATGCATTCTATTCCTTCTTCTAATTCCCTTTAATCCCTCTCCTTCTGCTCCTCCATCTCTTTAATCTCTGACATTCTCCTTTTCCATTCTTCGTCTATCTCCTCATTTCATCCTTTCCTTCTGTCCCCCCATATATTCTCTGTTTATTCATAGCCTCCCTTCCCATTCTCTCAGATGTTTTCTAACACAGAAAATGGGCATAAAAAATGCAGAAACATTTATAAATTTATTTCTCTCGCTGCCACTAGGCCGTCTGTCTTAAGTGGCCTCGTACTTTTCCCCGTGTTACGAGGTCGGAACTCTGCGCCCGCTTTGAGGGTCGTACGACCGGAAAGACAAAGAAAACGGGCTTAAGAACGCAGACAAATATATATTTATTTATACCTACGCTGCTGGCTTTAAGAGGTGACTTTGGTAAGTGGTTTCACTTTCTACGTTACGGGCCCTAGAACTCCGCTGCGCCACTTTGTGGGTCGTGTAGGCGGAAAATCCTTCGTTACGCTCGAAATTCATCTTTCAGAGCGTCTCCGACGAGCCATGAAAGTGAGCTAGGAGCAGAGTTCATGTACAAAGAGACAGACAGACAGCACGGCAGACAGGCAAATGGATAAGCGAGAGAACAGACAGGTAGGATAAACTGACAGGCTTGTAAAGACAGACAAAGCCGCCCTGGAAACACAAACCGTAACTGTCTCTATTTTCCGCTTGTTACAACTTGTAATAAAGTTGTTACATCTTGGCTTAACGTGTTTATGACGTATTAGAACGTTGTTACAACTTGCTATATTGGTTGTTATAACTGGTTAGGAGGTGTTAAAACTTGTTCGAACATTGTACCAACGTCGTAGTTTCGGTGTGTGTTTGGCGGGCCGTCACTTTATTTTATTCCTGGTGAGATGATTTTTATAGAACGGACCAGAAATGTTTATGTTTATGTATATTATATATGGGTAGTATTTTATTATCGGGTGGATGCGCGCGCACACACGAATAATGGCGCGCAATTTGTGTTTGTAAACAAAAGGGATCCGAGGTATAAAATTTCATAAGTCTGCCATAAATATCCAGCTACCAAGGAAGACGTATCATCATCTTGCGTAACCAATGGCGAATTAATCATCACTTTGGTGGTTGTTATACACTATAACCATTGGCTATCAGAGCAGCTGTGTGAACCCCATTCAAGTTTAACAGTGTCAGCGGTAATTAGCCAGAGAAACTGGACTCCATTCAAACAAGCAAGAGACACTGGACCTCACACAAGCAAACAGAAGCTCCGACCGCTCTCACTAACAGATGCAAACAGCTAACAGATGGACAGATCAGAGGGAATGAGAGAGAGAGGAGGGATGGATTCGAACCCTGGATGTTGACATAGCAAATACGATTTTCAGGTACGGGGTTGGCCAGTGAGGGAACCATGGGGATAAGCTCATCTGTTTCTCATTATGGGAGGAGGAGGGACGGAACTATCAGGGAAAGCACCAAGCCATTTCGACTATACAGCACTGGGAAGGGGTCAGAATAGGGATTTGGGATAGGACGGGGGGAAAGGAATGGCCCCCAACCACTTGGACAGTCGGGGATTGAACGCCGACCTGCATGAAGCGTGACCGACCTCTTCTTCGCCCTGATGTTTCAGCTTCCCTACTCCTCTCTCATCATCTCTCTCCCTTACCCTCTTCTCATCATATTCATCAGTCCTCATCTCTTTCCACCATCTCTCCTCCTCACTTGGGGTGGACGGTAGAGCGACGGGATCACGTCATGCAGGTTCGCGTTCAATCCCCAATCGTCAAAGTGATTGGATTCACCATTCCTTCCCCCCGTCCCATCCCAAATCCTTATCCTGACCCCTTCCAAGTGCTATATAGTCGTGATGGCTTGGCGCTTCTCCTGATACTTCCCTTCCCTTCTCCAATTAAAAAAACAAAGTAAATTTATCAATTTTTTTCCCTCCGGAAAAAAGGGAGCCGGTCGGCCGAGCGGACAGCACGCTGGACTTGTAATCTTGTGGTCCCGGGTTCGATCCCAGGCGCCGGCGAGAAACAATGGGCAGAGTTTCTTTCACCCTATGCCCCTGTTACCTAGCAGTAAAATAGGTACCTGGGTGTTAGTCAGCTGTCACGGGCTGCTTCCTGGGGGTGGAGGCCTGGTCGAGGACCGGGCCGCGGGGACACTAAAGCCCCGAAATCATCTCAAGATAACCTCAAGATAACCTCCTATTAGTTGAAGGAGGAATACATTCTTTTTGCTATCTTAAAATCGTTCGCTAGTTTCGTGGGCACAAAAGTTACTGTAACAAAATATATTAATAAAATATTTTATTAATAAAATGTTTATTAATGTTATAATAAAGTGTTTATTAATAAAATGTTACATATTAAATTTTCAACAAACATTATAACCAATGGGGAAGATATTTAAATATAACTATGTCATCAACTCTGAACTTATATGGCAATCGAGGCATCGCTGCCTCTTAAAAGGAACACGCTGCACCATGCAAGTAGCAATAGGCGCCTGAAACTGCTCGTTCGATAGCCTGATTACAGGGGGATGTGGCCCTTCGCTGGCTGTTAGCACCCGCTTCCCTCTCAAAACCAAAATCAATATATTTCTATGACAGTATTGGCTACGAATTTCCTAATATGTCTCTTTATATTAGCATTGATATATATTTTATACATTCAAGTATTATATATATATATATATATATATATATATATATATATATATATATATATATATATATATATATATATATATATATACATATAATGATTTCACCTCTTAGTCAAAATAGGACCCATAGCCTCTTGGAAGAGAATAAAAGGCATTCCAACAAGACCTCTCAGCTTCTCCCTGATTATATTTAGTATTTCCTTACTCACAATCTCCAGCACAATATAATGGATCAGACGTAGAATGTCCTGCCAAAAACCATTACTATAGGTTCCTAGACATGTAAATTGATTAAACAGCATGCTAGACATGACAATATATTTACCATGAAAACAGACGTTGCAATATCAGTTTCAATATACACAGGAGAATAGGGAGTAAAAAGGATGATAGAGAGAGAGAGAGAGAGAGAGAGAGAGAGCGTTGGAAGACGACTTAATTAAGATACACCGGTTGTTTAATGGGCTGGAATGGTGAAACTGCTCTGGATTTATGGAGAATGTGGATTAGGATAAGTACACCACAGATGCTAAGGATACTTTTGTGGTTTTAGTTTCGTTGTACAGGTGCTGCTAGCTGTGGTAGCAATGATTAGCTGTGGTGGCAATGATTAGCTGTGGTGGCAATGATTAGCTGTGGTGGCAATGATTAGCTGTGGTGGCAATGATTAGCTGTGGTGGCAAGGATTAGCTGTGGTGGCAATGATTAGCTGTGGTGGCAATGATTAGCTGTGGTGGCAATGATTAGCTGTGGTGGCAATGATTAGCTGTGGTGGCAATGATTAGCTGTTGTTCAACAGCTAAGGTAACGAAGCAAGAAAATCCACATAAAGACTAAGAAATCAAACCACCTTCGTTGGTGACCGAAAGGGTTCGAATCTCCTAACGTTGAAATGACCCCAAAGATTTAGATGACTGAAACAGGTGTGAAAAGGCAATATGGAGGAGAGGGTGGTATGAGATCAAAGCCAGGTGAGTAGTTCCATGCACCAGGTGAGTACTTTCATGCACCAGGTGAGTACTTTCATGCACCAGGTGAGTACTTCCATAAATACAATCTATAAAACCCCATTAAGCTGTATATTGTCCTTGTAGTCTGTTATCAAGAAATTATCGAGGAGCTAATATGGATTTTCCTACCTCAGGGAGCAAGGAAAGTTAAGCCTACCTAATCGCCTTAGCCTCACCCCTGGGCTAAGGGCACCTTGATATCTATTTGGTCACCTACACATTTACTTTCCAGAACCAGCGGTGTTTAACCGACTATCTATCTAGTCGAGTACTTCCAATCAATCAATCAATCTCATATCCCTGGGAAGGATATGAGATAGATTGAGTCTTCCTTGTCAAGTTCAAGTATGTTTATTGAGACAATAAAGAAATACATCTCAAAGGGATAGAGTAGCTTAGGCTATTTCTATCCCCCAAATATTCCTTGTTATAGCTTGAACGAACGCTGGAGATAAACTTCAGTGATGAGACTGTTCTAAGTTAACAATACCATACACTAGAAGGTGAAGGGCCGACGACGTTTCGGTCCGTCTTCGACCATTCTCAAGTCGATTGCGATCGACAATCGACTTGAGAATGGTCCAGGACGGACCGAAACGTCGTCGTCCCTTCACCTTCTAGTGTGTGGTCAGGTCAACTTACTTTAGCCACGTTATTGTGACTCATCGCCTGCAAACTGTTCGAACTTTATTCTTTGTGTCTGAACGGAAAAAAGAATAGAATCTTAAAGAGACAAAAACGGCTCTGAGAACGTTCTAAGACTGATAGGAACGTCTTGACGTAGGATGTGAGATAGGATGGGAACAAATGGTTGGGATGATGATAGTTTGATGGCCGACGGTGAGGGGGGCATAATGGCTCCCACAGGACGCTCGAACCAGCACCACAGTTTTCCCTGCCTCAATTGCAGGACAACGGAAGGAACCCCGCTTCAGGTGTCCACAAAAATCCACATGTAATGCCTCCCTCTCCCCCTTCCCCCTCTGCCTTGAAAACTATTGTACCTTCCCCAACCAATCCCCAATCCCCAATCCCTCTCCACCCCCCAACCAAGGCACAGGAGC